ATAACTGTTTTGACAGAAATTGTATGTTTACAAACTTGTTTTTAACGTTGACGACGTAGCGATCGACCAAGCTTTATCTGTTAAGGAGAAGTTTTATCACAATAAAATTTAGAAAATGCTACAATTCCGTTACAGAATTATTCCGCCGTGGATAGTTGATCTAACAGTTACCAATCTCGACGGAATGATTCCGTAACGGGACTAGAGAAATTTGCCACGAAACAATAAAATTTTACAATGACTAAATTGTCCAGCAATTTCCACGCCTTATCAATTTCATAAGTATTATTTTAATGAAAACTAATTAATGTCTAAATTTTTTAGTCTATTCATAAATCTGATGAAAAGTCATTAATCTTTAATTTTTTATTGTATAAAATAAATTTAATTAAACCGCGTTGGTTCAAGATTGCTCAAATTACCCTCAGAGTTTGATAAAATGACAATAAACTTATATTATTTCAAAATTAATAAATATTGAGATTATCATATATATACTCTTCCACGTTTTTTCTAAGATTTTCTTTACATAAATATGCAGATTTCTCGTGTGGGTCGAGTGTGTATTATTAAGTTCTACGGTTTTGCTATGGACAGTTGGCTCCATAGTGGAGTCAACCTTCTATATACATACTGGTTTTGTTATGGAGCCAACTGTTGGCTCCATAGTGGAGTCAACCTTCTATATACATCAAATAAACCTACTATATTCATAAAATTATATTAGTATTATTTAGGTAATTAAAGAATATTGTAGGTTTATTTATTTGATGTATATAGAAGGTTGGCTCCACTATAGAGCCAACTATTGACTCCATAGCAAAACCGGTAAATTCTATACATAAATGGACGGTTTATTTTTCTCATCATCTGGCGAGCGTTTGCTTCATTTGCGGACTGAGTAATATTTTTTCATACTACTTGATTTAATTGAGGGTAATTATACCATATTTTGTCATAATATTTGGATTGAGTAATATTTTTTCATACTACTTGATTTAATTGAGGGTAATTATACCATATTTTTTCATAATATTTTGTTTAATTGGTCTAATTATAAATTATGGGTAAGAAAACAAATGAAGCAATGAATGCTAAAAAATTAGTTATGAATACTAGTTGCTAAGATTTTATAGTGGGTGAGTATGATTGGAATGTAGATAATGGGTTATAGTATTAATAATATTTAATGGCTAAACAACATATTTGTAAAGTTTATTTTAAAAAGTTCAATGTAACTTCCAAACTAATCATTCTTCCAAAATAATTCTTTTAAACTAATCATTCTTTTAACTGAGTGTAAGACATTTTTCTCGTTCTTGTGAGTGGAAATTATCTAACGTTTG